GCCTGAATGATCTGAAATCTTTTACGCCATCTGGAACTTATTGAAGTCTGATCAGTCTGAGACCATGATTGATTTGCAGAAAGGGTGCGTCAGGTAGCGGAACATCTCCTCAGATGTCAGAAGTTGTTGCTCGAGAGAAACAAAGGATTGTCTACAGACAGTGTGAGAAGTTTGTCTTCATTATCGGAGCCCATGGTGAGCACCGACATGACTTTTACATAACACTAGACGAAAGGATAACAATATCGGATTTGCAGGATGTGCTCAAGAGCTGGTGGATTTCACGATAGAAATTATCCTTGATCGGGTCGGAACCGCATTCAGTCGACGTGTACACTGAGATCACAAACAAGTTGCGTCTCTCCTCAAGACATCTGTACATCCTGCGTAAGCCCGGAAGCCGAACTGCAAACAGTTGGTTAGTTATCAGGAACCAGTCCAGCAGCACTGTCTCGGCTTTGCTACTTAGTGCTACACCAGAGTCAGCCAAGTCTACTGCAGCTGCTTCTATGTCACTAGATAGAGGTAACTGAAATATGGCTGCGTGGTCGGTGGGAAATCTCAACTCTATCGCAGTACTGGGATACTGAAATCGGGCTTCGGAAGCACAGCGAACATTCATGTAGTGGGATTACAAGGTGCGCGTAGGACCAGTCTACTGCCCGATCTGCATGAGTATACGTACATTAAAGCATGCCGGACGGAAAGAGGATAGAGGCCAAATGTGGGCCACTAAGCCAGCTCTTCGGTCGTAGACGAAACCATCTGAAGTGGAATCATGGGAACAGGAGTCGGCTGGTAACGTAAAAAGTACTCAGCAACACAACAACAGATGGTTTGTGAAGGTGTGTGAGTAGCAAAAGATACTTGAGCACTGTTTAGCATAAGAATAGTCAATGGTTTGTCATTAGGTGCTACTACCCGATTACCAAAACAGAAGTAGGGAGTTATCTTAGGGGACAATACTTTGGTTAAATAGCCTGCCCGCAAAACAACGTGGCGCATGCAGGGATTCGCGTCAATTGGGAGTTGGTAACTAAATGCTCAGTTCACACCTCTTTTGTTTTGTCGGTCACCAAACAGGGCCTAATCCATCCCATGATATCAGTGCACTTGCTGGAGTAAATTCTCCACCTAGATGAAACAACGGGCAGTGGCTTTATTTCGCGGCGAGTCGCATCTGCTACGTCGTCTTGTTGTTAAGCGAAGGTATGTAGATTTTTATAGGGAAAACGCTTGCCAGGCGAAAAGTCCCCACCTCCTGGAACAATACCGCCGAAAACTTCGCTGGAAGGGTTAAGCCCGAACCACTCAGCTGGGACGAATAGGTGGCAGCTAGGCAAACAAGCCACTACGCTTTCCAAAAACAGAATGCTTGCGGATACTAGGAAAGATAAAATAACTATATCTTACAAGCAAGGGAAAGATGACGGTGACAGTCATGATCGGATGAACCGCATTTACGTCACGACAAGGAAACAAATCAATCGTCAACGAGGGTTTTTTGCGGAATGGTTGCTAGCACTGCCCTGGTATAGTTAATGAAAATGTTTTAAACTTTGTAGAACGTAGGAAAAGCGAACGACGTTATTTCTCGAAGCAACTGGCTCCTGATACAGGTGGCGCCTGCCCGAAACGTCTGCACTCCATAATGCGTTTCGACCCTATTTGCGCGCAGCAATCTATTCACACAAGGATTATTTCAAAATAACCCTTCAATCAACTGACTCTTGCTTTGTTTGCTCCACATGCACGACAACAGCTGGAAGTGTAACAGGTCGAAAGATGTCAAATAGGTCATTCGCCTTTGCGGCATTGTACCAAGCACTAAAACCAACAGCATGCACCACATAACTTTGTCCAGGACAACGCAAGGTACGAAAACCAAACTAGTCTGTAGCGAGTGCAGTAAGTTTGAATGCGAACAGCATACAACGCGATTGTGCAATCAATACAAGTAGCAACATTGTGCGTACACCGAGGTGAAAAGAAAATATTATAACGAGGTGCTGTTATTCTCGTCATATGGCATATTTTCCACAAAGAGGTGAAGCTGATCCCATGTTATCACATAGGTGACCTTTCATAATACCACAGCAGTCTCGGCATAGTCACGCACGCCATTTGTACATTGTCAACAGGTTAAAATTTAGGCGTGCGTGGGATTATATTCACAACAAGAGCCGATCACTTAATACCGTATGTTTAATACACATCTTAGTCACTGCACGCTAAGCTCGAGTGCAGCCCAGTCTGGCCAACCAACTCACTATTATGTTCTCCTAAATGACGACTCAGGTTAAGTTGCGTTCCAACAACAGCCTCTATTGACTCTTTTCCTTGGTGTTGATTTTGCCCCTTTTCGAAAATCATAAATCCATATGTTGGCAAGATTGCACAGTCCAAACTAACACAAATAATTTCTCTCGAGTTTGAGTTTGTCTTAATTTGTCACTGTGATTTATTTTAGTTCTAACGCTTTAGAACGCAGTTCAATCTTTTCTCTGCCACTTGATTGCAATCAATCCCAAGAAGGTTGATCGTTCGACAATATTGCATGGTCTGTAGCAACTTCCTTCACGTGTGTTCCTAACCACCCACAAACTGATATCAGCTTGTGGGGCCAATTGTAAATGAGCAAAGCACTGGCTTACAAACTATTCGCCTACGCCGCTGGTGCTCCATCATTGTCACAACACAAATGACGAGCATGGGAAGGAAATGCCGGTCCATTTTCTCAACGCGCGCACTAGCTAGACTCGGCACAGTTAATCACTCCCGCTCCATGGAAAACTTTGGTTTGCATAATGTGCCACATCCATAAACTTCCCGTGTTTAGACTGATTCGGTGCAATAATCTGGGACGCGGATTCATGCTGTGTTAATTGTAAGATCAATCATATCTAGTAATATTTACACATAATCCGATCTAGATTCACCAGTTGACATTTCAATTTTAGCAACTCACATACTTGTGACTCCTGCAGATAACATCTTAGAGATTAGCCCCTGACAGTAGTAACCTATTGAAGAAACGTCCGCGGACAAATTACCTGGTTCAAAGAACTAACCAGTACGCTTATTCACAGTCCCAACTACAAACCGGAAGCACACATGAAAAGTGCACACAAATAGGATGCACAGCGAAAGACTCACAGACATAAATGCGCACTCGGAAGAATGCCCACACGGAAAAATGTCCACCCGGAAAATTTGCCACTTACATTACACACACACACACATTACATTGCATTTCACACATTTCGTCGTTTTGGCAACTTCCTTCCAAATGTCCATACTAATTCTTTGTGGCAATAACAAAACGCCAGTTTTGATCTTTGCCCCCAGCAGCTGTATACTGTTGCAATATGAGTGTTTTAATTACAATGAGGTACCCGATAGCTTCATGTGAAAATTAGCATTTTTCCACTTGAGAATTTCATAGCGGCAAGCCCAATCCAGAACAAGGCATTAATGAAGGCACACGTTCTCAATCGTTTGTTTCTCTAATGGTGAACCGGTGAAACATACTTGCTAGGGAAACTGGTGTAGTATCGCGCGTCTGAACCGCGCGAAGGATCCAGTCACGGTCGTGCTTTTCGTTTAAATCACACGACTTCAACGTACAGTTAACCTTTATCATCGGTCACATACGTGTACAATAGAAGAAGGAATTTTGATTAAGAATTCACAGATCGTGCTCAGCAAACGGGAAATTTGAAGACGGCTACAATTTTAGCTCTGAGCATTGTTTCAGTGTGAGCAATTTTCGCTATGTGCATTTTTCAGTTTGGACATACTTCTATACCCATTTATGTCTGTGGAGATTTTCTGTACGTAATTTTCGTCTGCGCTTCCATCATGAAAGCCCTTCACAGTACTTAATGATGGCACCCCGTGTTTGGGCTATGTTTCATTTTATCCGTTTACAACTTGTACTGCCTTACGTCTAATTATGATTGTGCTCAGAATTCGTCGCGACGTGGATGGGAATTTTAACTGGTACCGAGTTGTGGTACGTTAAATCTGAACCAATCGGCTATCATTTCTTGCATTTTGTGCACAGGAATAAGCCGTAATTTTGATCCCATTGCTGGAATGCAGAAATAGTGAAAAGATTGCCATCCTATTCCACTTATTTGCTATTTCCTAAGATTAGACTTATATTTATTACGAGCAGACTTTACCGTCTCTCTCGAGAATTCTCTTTTCTTTCTTGCTTTATGGGTGTAATCTGTTTGTTACACAGTTCATCCGTATTTTAATGAAGCAGCTCAATCTCACTGTATTCTATGCGCTCACGCAGGGATTCTTCACACAGAAACGGTATAACCTTAGCCATTGTTTGTATCACAGAACGAAGCGGTGTAATGAGTGCACTGTCCTGCTAAATTGGACCATTTCAGAGAGAGAGAGAGAGAAGAGAGAGAGAGATGGAAAAAACTATAAGCGCTGCAGTAGTTGTTTCTTCCTGTAGAATTAACCTCAGTACCGTACCATGCTTCCGTACTCAAAATCTTTGAGTGCTTCCATAGGATTAATATGTACTATCTCAAACTTTCTTCGTGAGAAACTCCGAACTACCACTAATCATCATGTATTCATTACTATAAATTCTGCTTAATGTCACCATTTCACCGGGTTTCGCTCCAATTTCTGCACTATCAAATGAAATTAGCACGATAAATATAGCACCGACTTACCCATTCGGCAGCTAGTTCTTTCATTCTCGTTTGCTAAGAGTATCACACCATATTTCGAAGGGAATTCAACAGATTAATTGAACCGATCATGACGCAAATGAAACGCTTTCCATTATCCGGCATTCTTCCAGCGAACCCCCGCCAAATCCTCTCGGATGAACCGAGGGAAATTCTCTGTTTAGTTCTGCAGAACCTCCACGTTTCTTGTTACACTTTTGCGACTGCAATTCATCAGGTAGACTTATGATGCATCCTTTAACAAGCGAACTTCTTCATTTTTAATTACTTGCATCTCAGGTATACAAACAGCACTGCGTTTCTCAATCACAATGGGCTCGCTGCATGCATCAGTGCCTGCTGGAATCTTTGAAAAAACGATGCCAATGTGAAATATATAGTAAGTTTCAATCTTTATGATTTTTGAGTCTTGGCCCGACCCACCGGTCAGTGCCTTGACTCCAGTATTAACCATCTGCTTTTCAACGTCTATGATAATTTCTTGGTTACCAGCGTTTTAGGGGTCATAGGTTGATTTTCCTCGTATGCTATTGCACCACCAAACACAATAGCAACTCAGGCAGGGTCCCAGTGAAAGAAATAGCCTCTGATCACCGAAACGCTTACCACACGCCGATGTGCGATTGTGTTTCACAGAAGAGAAATCAAAATAACACAAACAATCAATAAACCGCTTCCTCTGTGACGATGAAGCGCTGTTGGTATTGTCAGGTCGACGCGGCGATGGTAGAGTTGGGAGGGAACATCAATTCCCAATGTATTCTAGTGGCTCTCAGTGGCAGGGCGTACGTCATCACGTGAACTCGCCTGCAGACAAAACAAGAACTAATTGAGTCAGACCAGCTGTCGAATCAAGAAACGGCCTATCTAGGAAACGGGTAAGATTTTTCTGGTTCCAGAAAACCAGTGTCGAGAGTATTTTGCCATTGCTAATTACGTTGACAAGTAGCAGTCTGCCTGAGGTTTTAATGCCTGGTCATATATGTGGGCGATTTTGCCAGATTTGAAGAGATACTCTTCTGTACAACCGTCATCAGTGTCACCTTGGGTGTTCAATTCGACCTACCCCATCCGTACCTCATCGAATTTTCAAAAAGAAACACGGTGGAAAGTCATTAAATTTAAGTTTGCTTGCATGTTTTAGCGGAAAGCATTCTGTTCATGTTTTGCAAGTGTGGTGTGCGATGTGTGCGGTGTACAAATGATTGTTGTGAAAACTGCTATCTGATACATCGTGCTCGACTGACTGAAAGATTTGTTTCCTGGTTTGCTATCTTCTGCTTCGGATAACTTGTGTCTTTTCTCAACGTTTGTTCTGCAATACATAAGTGGCCATAGTTTATCCGAGTGCTCCCCCCAGTAAGCATTTACAATGGTCAGTAGATCGCTCATATCCGTTCAGTTTACCTGCTCTTCTTTTAAAACTTGCAATTGCTGAAGCACAGTAGAAGACGTTGGCCCTATTCATAGCAGCTCGCTTCCTGCTTCAAAAATGTTTCTCCTTAGATTTTTCTGTTCGACCATTAGGTCGGTGAGTTGTGTAAAACTGGTATAGACCGCACACTATGCCAATCGATAGTATCTGCCTCCAGATTGCTCCACTACGATAGTTCACCGCTAATTCCATGATGCGACCAAAATGCAAAATAACATTGCAATATCAGCTCACGATCCACCGTGGCAATAAAATGTGTTCGGTGGCCGGAGCAAGCGACAGTGTTGCAAATCGGTAACTATGTAGAGTATCTTACCCCAAGGTGGTTGCAACATGCCCATGACCATTCAACGGCATCACAGACTCTGCATAACTTCCGACTATTAAGTCTGCCAAACACTGTATATTTTTAACAAGGTCATTCTTTTTTTACACAACTAGTTTTATGATTTCCAATGGGCTCACCAGCCACAGGGTAGGCGTTTTCGTTTGTAGTGCAGCCGAAGAAGAAGGATTATGCTGTCTTGCTTAAATAACATCAGATATACGCATGGCAAGTGGTGAAAGTTTCTTCATCTTGCCGATACTGCGATATTCCATAAGTGAAATAAACTTATTGTGACCGAAGTGTCAAACTGCCCTATATTTTAAGGAGTACACCCACCCTTGAATTCCATTAGGTTTCGTTTCATCAAACAAATGATCACAGGTTTGCATGAGACCAGTGACCCGTCTACCTCAAGTGCGCAGAACAAAGAGTGCAGGCTTGGTGATGATGCAAACTGTTTTCGACCACATAATGTAGGTTAAAATGTCCAATCAACAGGGAACAGCTATGCGGCGACACCAAGATTCCTTCCTCCCTCCTAGTAGAGCCGTAGCGCTCCACCCTCATAAACAATTATGAATTCGGTAGCACCCTTGCGTATGCGCTCTTGCTTCTCTCTTAACTTTTGAATCCGACAGTTTTACTAATCTTTGTCACGTAACCCTTACTTACGTTTTCTAGTTCTTTTCGGCTAGTATTCTTTAAAATAGATATCTAAGTCAGTGGCACCGGATTTCTCGCATTTTAGTCAACAGATTGGATTCGCCTACTTGAACTTGGTGCAACTGCTACTACCGTGTCTAAACGGGCCTGCACTTCATTATCGTTGTCGTCGTCGTGCTCACGGTATTCGCCATCAACGAAAACGGTAACAAGTAATGCTGCCACAGCATAACCTTCCATGCGGGTGTTTCACCATCGTGAATCATCTAGAATGACCCTACTGCTAAGTAATTAGAACGCCTTGAACCACCCCCCAATTTGATGCCTAACGCTATCTAAGATACGTCTAAATTAAAGCCTCCTGCACCTTGCTTATACCGTGCGGTTAGGAACAACGAATCGTTCTGCGAAGGTAAAGCGACGAGAACGGGACAGCTCAGTTTGACTTCCGAGTGCCTACCCTGGATTGGATTGCGACACGCAATCTCCATTTGACTTCGGTTTACTCTGAAGTGCATCTTTGTCATTCCGAGTACTTTGCATGTACCCGAAGTAATTGTCCGAGAACCACTTTGTGGTGCCATTTACCGACTGATCGGTCGTGGATTTTTGACAATGCGTAGCAAACCCGAGTCATTTCAGAAGCCAAAGCCTAAATCGACCTGCGGCGCTATTTTACGAAAGAACGCGACAGCAATTTAGAGACTGACCTCAACAATGTCCATACCACAAGATGGTAATGATTCTGTTTTTAACTTGGGGTCCGCCATCACGAGATACCAAGCCGAGGCACCAATTCCAAAGTCAAAGGAGGGTGTTGCGGTCAGACTCAATACAAAGCAGACCGATCAACAACCCAAACAAGCAGTTTGTACTATACGTTGGTATGTGTCAGAGGAGTCTTTGTTCGCTCAAATAGACTAAGGTATGGGTGATTCTGAACGTTATATTTCAAGCTGTCAGAATGTCAGGGAACAAGCATGTAGTGAAGGATAACAGACGGGGTTGTGAGCAAAAGGGGATGAGTGAATATGGTTAAGTTGCACCAATTAAGTTTTGGGCCAGGAACTTAAATCAAAGTAAGAAGAAATATCAACATGAACAAACAAGAAGTCCGTTATGCTGCTCAGAAAACTTATTCCCTGAAGTTCTCCTTGCTTGGCACTTCTTTTCCCGCTCTAGATTCCTGAAACCCAAGTAACTCCCCGCCGTAACGCCATGGTCCTATTTATTTCGTCCTGTAAAGTGCATCCAAGTTAATGAACCCAATATGCCGCAAACGGTTTTCGACATTAGCAGTTCGACGGCAGGCGGCTAGGATGACTGGGGGTAAATGGCACCGAAAGGTTATGGCACAAAGCAGCAATTGACTACAGCTGCTCCTTAGACGTGGAATGGGTGGATCACAACGCAACATTCGATAGGGTCGATTGGGTTATCCAATGAAACATAAGGCAGCTGTTTGACGTCCAAACTATTAGTCAATGATGTATTCAATTCTGAACAAACAACAGCACTTAGCTTCTGGTCGGATATTCATGGAATTCCAACAAATCCTTTAAAAGCTCAGGAGGATCGGCAAAATTAAACTAGAATGAGCATTACAGAAAGGAAACAAATCACCGAAGTTCATAACTTATTGACGGCGAAAGTGCGAAAGAAGTTAAAGTTTGGCGTTATCCGAACTGAAACAATTCTTTAACAACATTTCTAATTGACCAACGGCAGCATAAAGGTTATCCCAGATTAAACCTCTCTCAAGTCCTGCGAGGTGGTACAATTGTTCGAGTAACTAGGTTGGCAATCGACATTTGGGTTTGCGTAAATCACCCATTCCTCTGGTATTTGGATCTTCAAGATACCAAACGCAGTTATTCCCCTTATCCACTTGTAGCTGGATTCTAGAACGCATTTCCGTTACCCGCCTAATCACCTCTGCCCTCTTTTCAAATGGGGTGCTTGTAATTATCTTGCTGGATGATTCCATGACAGTGCTGGATACCAACTCTACTCCTACGTATGTTCTTCTGCAGTCACGCCAAAAAAGTACATGGAGTCATTCACAAGCGGTTCCACTCCCGCAGCCGTTAGCATAACACTTACTTGAGCATCATTGGGATCATATTGTGGAAGACAAATCCCACTTCATCTTCTACCTTTTGCACCATGGAATAATACTAGCGTGGTAAGTGATTATGCATCTTCGACTCTCAAACGATGATCACACCTTCTGGAATCTTCGGGTTGCCATAAGGATGACAATCCTCTTGTGCTTGCACAGTATACTTTGTGGGAACAACCGCAGTGACAGTATGAGTCGAACAGCTTGAGGAGAACATTATTCCACTTCCGTATATTGTATATTGCAGATAACTTTCTAAGACAGTGTGTACTAGACATTTCACGGTTATCACCAATGGAGTTGTAAACATGTAAACAAATTTCATTCGTATGGACGCTATTATGTACGTAAGTAATCAAGGAAAATGGAGCTGCATTAGTACAGGATTTGGATTCGTAATTTTCGTAGCTTCTGGAAGCACTCCGCAGAATGCTGCATCAGTTACACTCAACGCATTCGATTTTACCTCATGTGACACATCGCCATAAACCGCGGTACATGCAGTGCTGAGTTCCTGGTACGTTTACAACCAAAAATCATGAAGCAATCTACGATTTCCTAGTCTTGCAAAGTGATTGCGCCACGCTAGTAGTTTCCATTGCTAGCTTCAGAGTGCAGAGGCGCGGGATGACCACCGTCCGTAACGCATGTGCAATCAATGCTTAAGTAGGACAGATCACTGTCGTATAGCTGCTGCTCTACTAACTGCTGAACGCACTTGAAGTGGCTGTTGGAGGTAAGTGATTATCTTCCCCTTTCCATCGGCCCAATTACTGTCCGTCCAAATGGACCCCTTATAGAAAATGGCTGATTTCTTTCACCCTGGTACTGTTCAAGGTGCCAGTGGGCTGCATGCACATCAGCTGCAACCAAAATAATCATCTGCTTGTCGCAGTGTTGGCCAACTTGTACACCCTGAAGTTGTGGTCAGTGACGAGCTACAGTTAGAGTAAAACTTTCGATAGGTTGCAAATACAATTCTTTAAAGCATGAGAGATATAAGTCAGATTATCGCCACACAGTGAATTCAACTTGAATGGGACGGAACTTGCATCAAGTGACAACGTACCGGTCAGCGTCCTGATCTCCGATGATTAAGGGCGGACTTCATTCCAACCTCACACAGCAAATCTCCCTTTAACATGGTTGTATTTGACCTTGTATAGCAACGTGAAGTCTCAATTGGTACAGAGTGGCCTGTAGATGTGCAGGTGTTATGCTGAGCTGCACTATTTGCCCTAAATCCAGAGTTATGCAATAGTTGATCGTTTTTTGCTGCGGGTCCTCTTCGCATTCCGAATGCAAAGGTAGGTGATGACGATCTCCGCAACCCGACTGATTACATCTGTCATTCAATGTGCAGGAGACAGTCAAGCGTACCTGCTGTGGTATTCATAGCATCCTTCCTTCTGTTTCATCAGTTCTTATCTATCAGGCACTCTTGGTGCTAGCAACTCTTGGTACACCGTGGTGCCGTGTTGGCTACCACAAAATAAGTAAGCTGATTCCGGTTTTACTTTGGCTTTCATGCAGTGTTTGATATTGGCCTTCTTTCTCCTACATGGTGCGATTGGTGGACTTCGCAAATCAGACGGTCACACCTCATGCATTGAAACCATCTGTCTGAATCTGTTGCGCAATGTAGGGGCTTTCAAAGAGACAAAACCAGTCAGGTCCTTGAAGATAATTACTCTCCCTTGTTGTAAAACTGCGTACCTGGTGCATGCCTATCATGATTCCATACTTGCAGTGAAGACTTGTACCGTTCTCTCCAACGTTGCAATTGGGTCAAGGCAAAGGAGAAACCCAATGGTGTCAACGCTATGTGACAGTTCTCCATCCTCAAAGAGAAACCAGAACTGGCTTCAGGATCACACGCAAGAGGCTTTACATCCGTCTATACTGAATTATTAAGCGACCTAGAAACCACATGATTCTGGCCAAATAAATTGCGGTCGTTTGAGCTAGGACGCAGGCCCCGTCTGGAGACAAAATAACACACTCATTGCTAGCGTCCTTCGCCCGGTTTCCACAATTATGCAGGAAATATAGATGACGCTGCCCTTACGCTATGACAGCTCTTCAACAAAGCAATCAAACTGCTCCTTGAACTGGTAGCATTATCATGCATAGATCCAAGTTCCCCGTTAGCACATCCGGTTGACAGCGCTTACCCATAGGTTGATCAACGATGATAGGCAAGTGTTTGTGCTCATTTGTGGAGGCCGGATATCCACCAACAACATTATTCCCTCATTCATACCATTCTATCACACAATTCTGGCAATTTGTTGACAGGTCGTGTCTCTCTCAACAACGCTGCACTTCCACTTCGACCATCAACTGTTTCCTCCCCCATTCTGCTAGTTTCGACCTAATACTTGAGGCATTGTAATCAATACAATCTGTAATACTTTCCATGGTCCTACTTCTAACTTGGAAACCAGAGCACATTGTCCACCCATACAAGTGAAATGATCACTGATAACTTCTCCGCTCTGTATATTCTTCCTTATCACCAACCCACTGAGCTGTCCCGTTCACCCTCTATTGCGATTCAGGTTGCAATCTTCTGAATATGATGCATTGCGGAGTCAAAATGAACACACTGTTGGGTGAGTGATGAACAGTTTTTGAATGAACATTTTCATCACAACCTCATTAAGAAGTCGGTCAAGGTAAGATTTTTGCTCTTTTCATTCTATGCTGCCCGGTGAATCTAACTACTGCGTAGGTCTTCCGGGTAGCTTCGGGTGCACCTGTTACTATCCACTTGGGTATTGGTCAGGCTTCAGCGCTTGCCGAATTGTGACGGGGGCCAATGTTTGAGTTTTACACGTCATCTCATCGCATGTCCCAAGTTTCGATGGATAACAGGCTAAACGATAGCGATTAAATTTGTGTATGCAGATTTACGAGTCATGCATTAGTGATCACCCAGCCGGTAAGGCTGCGGTACACATGCCGTACACTGTGAGTCTCAGAACGACCCCTCAGTACACTAGGGGGCATTAAAATGCGGCGTGGGAGTGTGCGTTGCCTCTGAGGGTTGTAGATTACTTTCAAGTAAGCACATTCCTCTAGGTAATGCGGGTTAAAAAGGAGGATGCCATACCGATCCATCTTTTGACGCACCTTGGTACAAAAAACGATGCTATCGGCACCGTTTAGCGGGGTAGATTGATTTCAGTTTCATAGTAAAAATGCTTTCAGTGTGTATTTATAAGTTCGATAAGGATGACATATCCTACCTACTCAATATTTTAGAACCGCGGTCCATTCGCTGGTGAGTTGCCCTTTGCATCCGCAGCCCCGTCCTTTCATTTCGGGTGTGTGATGACACAAACCGATGGATTTCCTTTCCCACCATTTAATTCTTGCAAGCTAGTGTCGATCCAGTTTAGCTACATGTTCTGTGCCTGCTCTATTTCCACAGAGTACCTTCCACCGAGCCAGTGCAACTGCCCAAACCCATGTGAACATATCACCTACTCAGTGGAATCGGTCACGCAAGCTTTGAAAAACCCCTTGTTTGCTCATAGTTCAAACACCATACCCTTCCGAGACCCGTCAGCAGCGTTGACTCAAGCCAACTTTCCTTGGCTGGTGCAACGTGATGGGGATACCTCCTACAGACGCCGCCACTTACATGAAAATTTTAAGGAATTAACCAGAGAGCTCGAAGAACAAAAGAAGGAAATTTGGGTTGGTGAATTGTTGTTCTGTACTGAACCGATCCTCCTAATTTAACGACCGGTTAAAAACTGAGCATTTCCCGTTCTTGTTTCATGCGATGGAAGACGAATATTCCTCCTTTTTTCTGACTAGATCAAGTCAAATTAGCTGTGCAACCGCACATCTTGTAGTCATCGTGACTCTTATCCCATAAAATGTGAACTGTGAAGGGAGGTATACTCTGTAACAACTTAGTTGCCATATGTACTCACCAAACTCCTGATATGAAGTGATAGTAACTAACCCCCTTCAGTCGAATACTACATTTCACCTAAAGTGGAAACGCTTTTGAACGCATGCTAGCTAGTGTACTTTATTAAGATTTTGGACCACCGGTTGGTTTGAAGTACCTCTACCCACCACCACTTAGTTCAAAAGTTGCGCATAACTGAGAGCAAATTAGACCAAAGTTTGAGTGCAAAACGCTTGTGGAATTTTTCCCATTCAGTAGCCTTCCTTTCAATTTCCTTACATAGTCAGAGAGCGTTACAAAACTTCAGTGGAATGTGAATAATTTGCGATTGGAAACCTAGTGATAAAGCAAATGCCCACTGGCATTTCAGCCGTCTATTTCGAGATCCTAGCCTACAGCCATCTTGAATGGCTGAAGTTACTCGGATACCAACAGTAAGCAAATATATGCAGTACTCATGGCAAGCAGAGGATCACGTGTGAAATCGAAGGCTGTCGAACTCTATATGCACAGAATAAATCTAAGGTAGGAGCGCGTTCTCTTGTGGAGAATCATCTCAGGAGCACATAGTGCACTGCTCAGAGAGAAGAATTAAATGAGTTGAAAATAAAAACAAAAATTGTCTCTTGGGGATTCCAGTAAATGAACCGCCTACCCTTGTGTAGCCTGCTGAATCTCATACGGCGTGGAGTGCTATTCGGTTAGCCACACAGCAACATCTGCAGATTGAAGTCATGGCTTCATCGAAGGCAGCCATTTACATACAGATGTAATCCGGAACAAATGCTGCGTCTGCTGATTTCACGCAGTAATAAAACCGTTGTTTTGCTTGCTCCTGAAAACCAGTAGGCTGTTCTTGTTTGCACCGTCACTAGTTTTGGGGAAAATTCCGCACACAATTGAAGTAGACGAACCTAGTGAGCTTTGCTTTCTATGCCTTGCCTATGTTGGTATACACGTGCATTCTGCCGAGTTGCTCATTGGATCAGCCTGTGGAACTTAAGCAGCAGTACACAGCAATCCTTAGAAGTAGCTTCGTTCTCGCCTGTGTTGAAAGCCAGCGGTTGATTACTGGCAGCCTGTCACAACGTCACATTGATTCCTGACTCTCGTCTGGCGCAGGACATGCTCAATGTGGTCATGTCCCTTGCCCCCTGTTTGCCTCACTCGGTACGTGTCCAACTGTTGAGGTCCTTCTAGTTTCTGCACATGTGCGAGGTCGTCCTCCCTCGTCACTACGATATTCCTTAAGGCCCAGGTACGGATATACTCCCTAAGGATTGCATGCGCTGAGGCTACGGAACAAATCCTAGTGTGCGTAGTTGTGTGCATACCTGATGCGCTTGCATATACCTTATCCAAATCATATTGGAGGAAGCACATTGCGTATTTTGCATTTATTGGCGTTTGGTCATTCTCTTCGTCTTGCGTAATTTTCTCAGTCGCAGGCAATCGGTGAGCGGACAGCATACGATACTGGTGCGATATGCCAACTGCGACTTTAGGCAAATTCCTCGTGAGGCGCAAATTATTCTTGTTCGCCAGTTGATACAGATCGGCGCTCTCGAATCTCTTTTGTAATCCGTTATAAGGGTAACAGTACAGTTATCCTATCCACGCTTTTTCCCGATCTCAACGCTTCGTTCAGCTGCAAAAAGCAACCGTAATCCGCTGGTTTCCGTACCCATACTTTGTTACAGCGACACAAGTGTGTTTTCTTTTACCATTAACAACCTTAATCCTTGTCTCCACCACATTGCTCCAAAGCTTCGACTTTTTCTTGTTGTGGGTCTGCATTGTGACACACATTTCCGGTTGGGACCGCAAATCACTTCGCACTGAGCCGTAGTCAATGCAGTCACTGTGATCGCAAGTGAAATGGAAAGCTCTCGGTGTTGTTCTCTCCAAGCACTGCATTCCATGACCATTTAAGTTGTTACTTTAGCCGTTACGATTTTGATCGCTGGAACTGCGAATGGAACGCAGGACTTAGTGGTTTACGATTGAGGTATCGATAACCGGGCAAGCAACCACAAGAGCACAAACAAAGACGAAAACTATCATGCATTGCAGTGCTGGGAACGAACAACCCCCAAGGATAATACTGTATAACTATATTTCTTGATATGTGTTCTCTCCAGAAAAGGCAGAATATCAGAGTAGCACCGGCACGTATAGGTGATTCTGACTGCACATACGGACGTTACAGCGATATAGGCAGACGTTCGGAACGCAACCAATCAGATGCGAGAACACATGGCTGGCCCATTGAGTGTTAAGTAGACGGCGTGGGTGGCACAAACGAATCTATAACAAGTACAAAGCAAAGTAATGAGACAAGATAGTGTTCTTCCCTGTGATCGAATAAATAGAATCACTACTTACCCATGTATGATACATTTTAACGTCAGCACTCCGAGCAATTATTGTGTGGTGTTACTCATTAACGTATATCCATAGACCGGGCGGCGTATCCGATTGGATCGTCGTAGGTTTGTATTTTTCGTATCCAACGCTGTGTTGGTGGTGTGATTTTCTGTTCAATAGCACTTTGGGAAAGAGCTGTATGCAACCGCCTTGCATCCATCCTTGTACCTTCTGCCAACTTGTAAGTTCCTGACGCCCACGCAGATTCCACACGGGTCGCAGGTCCCATCCCTTCACCCCCTTACCCCTTTTCCGGGAATAGGGTAGCATCACACGAACATGTGTCTATACTTAGACTGGTAAACATGCCGTCCTTCGTATTCTCTCTAATCGGCGCTTTCTCCGGATGTAAAGTCTGCATTTAATCGAGTTCGAATTGTCCGCTCTAGCGTTAGCTCCGAGGGGGTCCTTGCCGTTGCAGTATGTGGAGTGATTCTGAATACCTCTAAGGCAGATACCAATGCATCATCCCAGGATTCTCCGGAAAGCTAAAGGACTTGTAGAGATTTTTCCAAAGTACGATTAAGTCGTTCGACAAGCCCATTTGCTGCGGCACGGTCTTCGATTGTGATACCATTCCGCCTTAGGAATTCGACGTACTCGTTACTTCGAAACTGTGAGCCATTATCAGTGACTATTTCTTCTAGCAACCCGTACTTTGAAAATAAACTGCGGAGCCACTTTATGATGACGGCTCTAGTTGCGGCCCCGCACAGAATAGTCTATGGTCATTTGCTGTAGAAACAGGTAGCAACCAGCACGTTATGCTTGTGCGGAGGTGCGTTGGCAAATGGGCACATAATGTCGATGGCAAATCTTGCTCATGGCTTCATTGGGTATACGGTAAGTTAAACTAGAGCATTCAATGGCCTCGCACTCTTATCGAATTTCTGGCAAGCGTGACATTCCCGAATAACCGCCTCGATGCTGAAATTCAACGTTGGCCACCAATAGTATTGTCGTATTCGGGCTTTTGTTCACACAATCCATGGACGATCTTTAAGCACACATTCAACCACCAGATAAATAAGGGTTACAAGACAGCAGGTTGCTCACAGTAGAATGCTCCTGCCCCAGGGTATAGTATGGAAGTAAATCAGGCTGGATCTTAGTCGGACTGGACCATGAAGTGGATACGTACTGCCGAACCTTCGCTATGACAGAGTCTTTGTCAGTGTGTTCCGGTATCAGGTCGTGTTATAGTAGAATGTGTTCCGTCTGCGATGTGTTATCATTTTTTATCTTCTCTAAATATTCGTTTTGCCCTTCGTTGGATAGTGCAAGTCTCGACAGGGCATCGGTACTTTGGTTATATCACCCTGGCACATATTTTCTTCCCCAATCGTAGTTTACTAAACGTGAGTACCAGCGACCCAAGCGTACCGGCTTTTGGCCATTGGTACTTCGACTTAGTAGCGGCTTACTAGTAGAGCAGAATGATCAGTGCTCAAAGTGAATCGACATCCGAATAAATAAAAATGCCATTCCTCACACGCCCAGCCACGGTGCCGGTGGATTAATTTCTTTCAGTATCGGACAAGTTACGCGATGCGTACGTAATCACGTTCTCCGCTCCATGGTGCAGCTGGGACAAGACTGCACCCAAGCCAACATCTGAAACATCCGTTGAAAATAAACGTGGGGCAGTGCTCGCTACCGTCGGAGTGGATTCAATCATCGCTCATATGGTCATGTGGACATCGTTTTGTTCAGTGGCCCAACGAAACTCCTGGTTTTGGCGCGCGAGCCTCCTCAACCGCTCGGCAATAGTCGCAAAATTCGGTAAATGTCAAAGGTAATAAGAACACAAACCGAAGGAATGTCTCATCTGTATAATATTGCATGGTTTTAGACAATCGAGAATGGCTTTGGTGTTCTGCACATTGGGCTTAACACCCGAGGTAATAATAACATATCCAAGAAACTCGACCACTGTTACAGCGAATTGGCATTTGTTGGTATCCAGGCGGAGATTTAGTGCATTCAGTCCATGCAGCACATTATGAAGGTTTCCCTGATTTTCGGTGGGGTTACTAGCAAAGACACAAATGTCCTTCATATACACAACACATCCTTTGAGATCGGATAATAATAGCCTGGTAAATTACTTCCAGGTGGCTGGAGCACTACTAAGGCCCATTGGTAGCACTTTGTATAGCTACAAACCGTCTTGCTTGAGAAAAACAGTCAAATGTCAACAAGCTGGAGTCGGTTGCATGTAGTAATATGCACTGCGAATAATCAGCTTAGAGAAAAGTTTGGCGTTTGAAAGCCCAACTATCAACTCGTCGACAGAAGACAGAGGTAATTTGTTCAAAAGTATATGTTGATTAAGCGCTCGAAGGTCGGTAAATACACAGATAGTTCCATTTTTTGAACAGCAACTAGTCGATGAACCCCATTCGGAACGCTATATGGGTTCTATCAAGTCTTCAGCAACCATTTGTTTCAAGCTTAAGCCAAAGCCTCTCGCTTGGCCAGAGGTAAAGGCCAAGGTTTTGAAATGTTGAACGCTTATAATCTGCGCTCAAACGAATACGGTGCATTGCTTTTGGGACTCTACCAATATCCGCAAGAAAGAGATTTGGGCAACTGTACCGTAACAAACAAACGTTGATGTCAGCAATAGTCATTCGGCTAACGCACGGTGATACATTCAATGAAATCAAGAATTTACGTCCCAATAGAAGCACCCTGTCAGTTTTAGAAACGTAAACTTCAACTGTACGCTTCCGGTTGTTTCTAAGAAACATTGAACCCGTAACAAAACCAAGTGTTTGAACATCATTATTTGAGCAGCTGCTAGAAGGGTAAGCGGATGGATGCACAGTTAACCGGCCAAAACACTGAAAACTATGTGGAACCACTGTGATTGGTGACGCGGATTCTAATTCTATGTCTAGACAAATGGTTTCGTTTCTAACTTCGAATAACACAACGAATAGCTGGGGAACGCAGTTTGGTTTTTGAGTGGGAAAAGAAAGTGGTTGTTCACATTCACTAACGGCATTTATGGAATGTTTAGTGAGGACTGAAGGAGCTGCAGAGTCATTTGCAGAATCAACACAAGAAATAGTACGAGAGCGACAAAATCATGCAAAATGATGGGACTTACAGTAATTCCGGCAAGTTGCGCTTTTTGAAAGACACGACTTATCATTAGTACGGTGCTCGGTATTTCCACAAAGGTAAAACTTATTTCCAACTGTGGACCGCGTCAGAGAACCCGTCGAATCCAAACGATCAATTTCAGTGGCTACTGCGTTAGAGAGGAATATTTCGTTCCGTTCCGTGACTGCGACCATCGCGCGAGGCACCTCGCACGCCCTGTCCTAAGCGAGATATTTCTGCGTTCTGCATTAACAGACTCTCTGATCCGCTACTCCGCCAGGCCAGAAATCAATCGTTGTATGAGCATAGTTTCCTCCCCTTTTTGGACATACTCTCGTAGTCACATTTTTGAACAGAACAAACGAGGCGAGAAATGAAAGTATCCAGTGGTTCACCAGATGCTTGCTTCAGCTGTTAAAAATTGTACCTAGAGGTAAACGTGTTCACTCGAACGCCCCAATGTTTAGCGAGGGCTGATAAGGCATCTTTTAAAGTGGGCTTCTCCCGAGCTTTAACAGCATCGAATATGCATCGACCTTCTGAGCCAAGATGCAAACGTGAAAGCTTTAAAATATCCTCCGTTTTAGCGTCACGGATGGATTGAGAATTGGTAACATAGAAATATGACCCCAAAAACTAATTTTTAGTCTTTCCCAGCATTCTGCATTTGGGATACTCGCAGGATCAGTCCAGAAATGTGAAGGAACAGGAGCATGGAACGACATCGGTATCACACGAGGTAAATTTTTTCTATTCCGAAAACGCTGAATATCAGTGTAGTACCGGAGAGTATAGATGAATTCAGCACATGCGTTACCATGAAATAGGAGAGGGTTAGACATAAAACTAATCAGATACAAGAGCACATGGTTGGTCCATTGGTTGTTATGTAGACGGCGTGGGTGGTATAAACGATTCGATAACGAGAACAAAACAACGTAATGTTACACGAAAATGTGGTTTTATTGTGGAAGATGTGCAACACAGAAAATTGAGTAATTTAAAGGCACCCTAATGAAGATAGCGTCTCATGTGCTCCACCATCTTCTTCGGCAAGCTGTTTTAAGCACAGATCTTCTTAGGCTGGCCAGGTTTACTTCACCAAACCCTCCATATTTCATAAGTAATCATAAAGTAATGGTGCCCGTATACTCTTATTCATCACTGGTTTCGACCCCAATGCTTGCTTTTACTTTTACTTGCACAGTGGTTCTTGGCGCATTATGAGACTTCGACTATCTCTAGACCACTGTGGTTATCCCATTGTACATGCCGCTCTTCTTACGTTTTCAGGACGGCTCTCTCATTCAGATATGGGCGTTTTTGAGAGAATCCAACCGCACGGCCTTTGAACATTTGCGCCAGCTTTCTCGTCTGCTACAAAGCCTCCACATGGATTTGGTAACTGTGGAAACTACAGTTGCTGCTCTGGATATTAGCGACGCTATTAATGTTTTTGATTGGAGCAAAACGAGTTCAGCTGTGGGTCACAACTCACTTCGTTTACGGAATAGGTTATATGGAGCGAGAAGAGCCTGGAGTGCGCTATGCACGAATAACGAAGAGTACATCCGCATTCTCTCTAGAATACGTCATCTGGGGGAGGAATTTGTCAGGTTATTTCGTCGGAGCGTCCTGTTCCGTGATATAACCACGATTCCTGGAGAGGACTTCCATGTTCACCTTGTACGCCTATTTTTCATGCGGGTCGAAGCCGATATGGACTATTTGGCTAACCAGTTGCAGCATAATGATCTATTCTCAGATGTGACAATGTTGGACATACAACGCAAGACACAACAATGCGATCCTTCCGGTGTTGGAGGAGCAGTGCAAACGAATTCCGACGTTGAGACCAACGGTTCAGCCGCCCCCAGCAAGGAACTGCTCCCTGATAGTCAATTAACACTGACCAATGGACACGAAAACATTGGCAGTCTGCAAGCGGTCCTCCTGGCGACGGACTCTCAGTTTAAACAATTTCGGTCTGCATTTTTAAAGCTAACGTTGGAGAACCAAGAGCTTATCGAAACCATTTCTGCGGATCGTCTAAAACATAAAACAGTGGTCGGCTCCGATCAGAGGTAAGTTTTTAGGGTGGGCAGGTTGGCCGTTATGTTGATTTCCCCACTAGTCTAGTCCCGTCCACATGAGTAATCAGAGAAGCATAGCCACTGACGGCTTACACTCCGTTTCCAAAAAAGTGCTTTTACTTTTGACACTGTTTTGCCCTGCTTTATTAACATCTCTGTAACTGTGAAATTCAATCAGAAACAGCAGGCGAAAGTGTGCAGCCCACCACAACAAATGCAGGGTCTTTAGGTAAAGCTGATGGTGCGACATAGTACGTCCGTTACTACGTCTGTACTCCATTAAGTTTGCACCTGACTTCAGAGAAAATGCCCCTATACGTTAGTCTGTAGCTCTTGGAGGACGAAGGTTGTTTCCAGAAGACAACTGTGCTATATGCACCATTTTCACTTCAAACTGGACGTTTGCAAGTCAAAATGGGATAGAACGACACCGAAACCCTCCACTTCGGATACGGTCCCAGTGATGGAATGACACAAGGTGACTTCAAGGTCAACCGAAGCCACGATTGAGGTTGCGTGTCTCAATCCAAGGCACACGGCGAGTACTCCCAAACACGACAATCAGGAACGAGAAAGGGCAACAATGAGACCCTTCACAATGGACACCGTTTATAGTTTAAGCAGAACATCATCAAGTAACTAACGCGGGGTAAAAGTAGTGCGATTGGACTGCCTTCACGTCACATTACTGTCAGGCTAATGTAACCCATGTTGTGCTAGCGGTGGTCACTATTGCAAGCCCTTCTCGTACCATGGTCGTAAGTTTACCTGATCGTGGGTGCCATTCGCATCGACCCACTTGTTCCCATCGACCCACGCGCAGTGTGTGTGTCCAGGACTCTGTGCAACTGAATGACTAATGAGAATTCGGACTCCCGATAGCGAGGTCAAGCCCCATATGCGACAAACCCAAGCTCGCTAAATAAAGACGCACGCGAGTTTCATTTTGCCCACAATGTGGACACGACGTTAGTGATAGTGGCAGCGAAGACCTAAGGCATGGTTTACTTAACAATCAGGTAAAGCACATTAAAAGGTGAGAAGTCCTCAACCTTCGTCGCAGAGCTTGCGGCGCATATGTGCTACGGAGCGGAGATGAACGGTGTATGGCTGGCCATTGGCAACGCCAGAATCCACATGCCGGGTGATCACAGGAGGATCCTAGGATCGTCCTATCAGCTAAATGTTCTGTCTCCCAGCAGGTGTTTTAAACACTCATTTACTGAAGGGATGGCTTACCATTGCCTTCGTTAATTTCTGCGTCACATTGAGGACGCATTTCTTGCAGTCCTGCTGCTTTACCATCTCGACGCTGTCTTGAATAGTCACACTTAAGATCTGGTCAGATGCTGGGTTGGTTAATAGGCGCATTGCCTCCTATTTTAAAGCGTCACGTATCCTTGCATTGCGATTCCTCGACGTCAGTGTTCATTTTATTTTGGGAAGTCCCGTCGCACCGCACATCAGAAACATAACAAAGTCCCTCTCTATTATTCTAAGGCCAGCTACTTCCAACATACATTGAAATAACATTACTTGGCTCAGCCGATTAGTTAGTTGCTTTGTCACCTGGCTGAGATTGGATGAATTTCGTGTACCAGAGGCTCTTCCATTTGGTTTGCACGGCGCAGAAGCTTGACCATACGGGAACGTAAAAGAGAAATTGTCGGTCTACCATTTGAAGCGAATGAATTCATATCAATTTGTAAGAGCTTCCTCCCGTCTTATACACGTGCAGGGTAGTCACAGTGTGGAATGCGTAACCATCAGTTTGAAAATGTTTGGGCTAGTTAAGTGGTGCTTCAGCCTACTTCTAACCACTAGTTGAGGTAGTTTGTTCTCTGGCAAGTGAAGTGGCTAACGTGGAGTCAACCGTGATGAAAACTTGCTGATCCCAATGAGGTGCAGTAGGTCCAGGAAGCTTTGGGGGAATATTCCATCCCCTGTTAGTTCTATTCTGCACTTGATGCCTCCAAGCTCTATATCTGCCTTGTGTACACCCGATAGAGTGCGTGCAATATCCATCGTAAGACGTAAGCAGTTTTGAGTTCCTCAAAAGCCCGTGAATATTTACGCGGGATAGACATATTGTTGGAGTGCTTTGTAAGAGCATCAGCCGCAACCTAAAGACAGCCGTAAAGGGATGCAGGATAATCAACCATTTAAATATCTTATGTATTATATTTTGGATCACTGGAATAATGGAACAATGGGGTATAACGGGTATAAAGAAAGTCCCTGCCAAATCCCGTGGGGTGGCCAGAATAGCGGCGCATTCAAATGCAAGCGTCAAAAGTTCTAGGTCTTCTTGGCTGCAGTTTGGGGCGCTGTATATACATCCCTTAAGCAGCTTCTGCTGATTAATAAATATCGTAATAGTGATTGCTGGACATTGTTCATCACTGGGTTCTCGAACGTTGCTGCTGCGAGCGATTTTCGCAGATAAATTACACAGCCAACACCTCGACAATTAGGCTAATTTCTCATAAACTTGTCACATCCGAAAATAGTTAACTGATTGTCAATGTCATCATGGCACCAAGATTCAGTAATAACTATTATATCAGGATTATTCACCAAAACAAAAGAGCGTAGTGTGTGAAGCTTAGAGTGAAGAGAACGAATGTTTATCAAAAATATTAAGGTAGATGTGAGATATGAGGAAGATTGTTAGGTTGTGTTATGAACACTGGGGTTTCAAGCCGTGCTCCCGGACCGAGGCTGGAAATTGTTGGAAAAGTGTGTGTATTGCCACAGATGGAAAATGATTTGGAGGTGGCTTCAGGAATTCAACAATTTGCCCTCACCCTTGTACGATCTGCTGAAACAGGCCAAGCAATTCACTTGGACTACAAAAGCCTAACAAGTCTTTAATAGCATTCTACAGGAAAATGGAAGAGAGGTGCTGACCCTGAAATGGCTGATTGCTAGAAGGATGTTCACGGTGGCCACGGATGCCAGCGATGTCGGATTCGGCACAGTTTTGAAAAAACGCTGTGGGACGATTGAGTACGCTATCAAAATTTTGACACCGACAAAATGCAGATACTCAACCACAGGGAAAATGTCTCGCAATCGTCTGTGCGTTGGGCAAATGGCGACCTTATCTGATAGTTCAGTGATCTCACGTCGAAACGGAGTATAAACCTTTGGAATGGATTAATTATGCCAAAGGTTCCAGGGGAAAACCAGCGCGATGGGCTTTGCGCCCACAGGAGAACGATTTCACGATAATGCACGTGCCGGGAAAGGAAAACCAAACTGTGGACTTTATGTCACGCATGATGAACGACGATATTCTGCCCAGTTTGGCTGTTGGTATTGATGGTATACTGCTGTTACAATGAGACTAGACCTTACCGTGGTGCGATAGTTTGTGTGCCTCAGTGATCCATTGAGCTATGCTGGGTGGTGCATTTTTGCACCTTCAGAGCCACTCATACCAGATTGGTCAAAGGTGAGAGGCCAGGTATACTAAGCCTCCTGGTCATCCAGGGTGGGAGTTGGATTGATGACGGCTCCTTATTCCTCAAAGCAGACTCCTTGTAGCCCAACGCCAAACCCGCTGCCTTGCGGACAGGTTTTTTGAACCAAAGGCTTTGGTTGAGATCCCTATACGTTCTCGTGTCTAGGCCTCGGCAACCTGACAGTATCCTGCCCACACAATACAGTGCATCTCTCTTCAAACAAATTTCTGATGCTTTGACCACGGCAGAAGATAATCAATGGTGCCCTATCTGCTGCATCGAGCAGGGTGGATAGGGGTTTGGATATTACTTCTCAAGCCTTCCCGTCTTATTCCCTCTCACAGCTTGTTCACCCTCATCTTCCCATTCCAGCTTCACTTTCATCCCCCGGTTTTCAACCCCCGATTCTTGGCCCTCCCCCAAGTTGTTTCAAGCGTCGCTTCGCTTTTAGTTTCAGCTCTTATGTGAACGCAGAGCGGCATTCCTGCCCTGTCAACAGGCTCATGTCCAAGCAAGTGGTCCATTCCAGTTCAGCAGCTTCCATTTGAAGCCCTCGATCCTCCTTCAAATTGGCATGTCTCAATGTTCGCACATTGCTTCAGATCGGTCAACAGGCAGCACTTGCCCGAACATTGGAGACCCTCTCGATCAATATCTGCTGCTTATAGGAGACCCGCCTGCAAGACTCGAGCTCTGTGCTCACTCTGCGACCCCCTTCAGGTGACACTAGCAGCGCTTTCTCATTGCGCCTATCCGGTGACGATGCAGCTTCAAGCACCGGCCAAGCCGATGTTGAGATTACCCTGAGACCCCGGACGGCATCTGCTCTGGTTGATTGGATTCCAATCAATAGCCGGATGTGTACGGTCCGATTGGCTTTCTCGTTCAAAGCTTCGAAGTCGCGTGTGACTAACATGTGTCTATTCGTTATTGCTGCCTATGCAACGACAAACGCTAGCGATGATTCAGTAAAAGACGACTTCTATCGTCAACTGAACGAGCTCCTTAGCCACAGAAGAAGCTCGGACACTGTAGTGCTGGCTGAGGATCTGAACGCTCAAGTTGGAAAATTATCCACAGATGAGCTGCATCTGGGCGGCCAACATGGTGTAGGCTCCCATAATGATAACGGTGAGCAGTTACTTCATTTGTGTGAAGGTGCTCGCTTATTTCTTGCGAGCACTAATTTCAGACACAGCACCCGCCAGAGGGTGACTTGGCGCCCACCAGTCTCGAACCAGCTATGGACGCAAATCGATCACATTACGATAAGTTACCGATGGAGAGGCTGCGTCCAGAACTCTCGCTCGATTTGGAGCACATGTGTAGACACCGACCATGCACTTGTATGTGCTGACCTGCAGATGTGCTTTGGCGGACGCCCACGACGACGTTGTGAGCGCATTGACACCAACCAACTTGCGAAGCCAGCTGTTCTGAATGCCTAACAAACTACGCTGTCATGCGAGTTGGATAAACGCTCACTGGATGCAATCGATGCTCACTGGTCTCATATTCACCAGA